TTGTTTCGAGAGCTTCTTATAAAAGCAGGTCGAGAACTGCTTCGTTGTATTTAATTCAAATCAAATATTCCAGAAAGATTTTCACCTGAGAGTTTTTGACTTATCGTTTTCTCCTGGCAGTCAGCGCGGTGGGAGTAAATTTGCAGTAATGAGATCAAAAACAGGTGAATTTAACTTCAGTTTTAAAATTTCTGTGTAAAAATACTATGTTTTTATCCGCACCAGGTTTGTTTGATCATTTTTTGTTGCATTTTTCAGTCACCAGAAGCAACCAGGCGTCTTCAGACACAGTGTATGTACAACTTAACCATCAGGGTGATGTTTCAGGTCTAAGTACAGACGTCTGACTGTAAGGGCATGTGAGCAAAAATAAACTCGCTAAAAGTTTGGTTTCAGATCTCGTTTGGTTCTGTTCTACACCGTGTTCACACCAACGCTTCCGCTCACTCTTGCTCCTTTTTTAAATCATTAATTCAACAAAACTTTCAGCCCAACCAGGAGACGAAAGCTGTGACTTGTTTTTGTAACTTTGATACTTTTCAAAATGTATTATATATTTCTTCAAAAACTTTCTATCTGAATAATTCTTCAGCAAACTGGCTCCGTTCTTAACTTCGCATGCTACTGTTAGCTTGTAGCCAAAGTTGTATTACATTCGCCTCTTTTTACTGTAAGATTTTAGTTACCATTCTGCTACTTTTAGCTTCTAAATAAGCTAGAACATTAAAGTAACATCAGGCTCACTATAGTAGAAAAGGGTTAGCTGTACACTAAAAGCAGCAGAATTGTAGCTAAACACTAAAAGTGACAAAATAGTAGCTAAAAGCTAAAATAAGGCTTGGTAAAGTAGCAAAAGGCCAGATAGAAGCTAAAAGTGAGGGGATGGTAGCTTAAAGCTAAATGTAACAAAGCATGCAAAACACCAAAGTCCATGCTCAATAATCCAGGTATAAAAATCCTGGATTATTGAACATGGACTTTGGTGTTTTGAACCAGTTTGACACGACTGTCGACGAGGGAGAGGGCAGGCACCGGAGGATGGGGTGTGCCCCAGAGGCCATCTTAGCACCAACGTAACTGTTTTTTTCCACTTTGGTTTCGGCTGTTGGTGGAAAAGCAGTTTTGTTTGGCGTTTGCTCAGACTGATGAAGCCCTTCGGATGGAGGGCGAAACATCTCGGCACAAAAAAAGAAACCGTCCAGATGACCCGACGGAACATTGTAGGCATGCTAAAGTAGCCAAATAATGTAAAAGTGGAAGAATGATAGCTAAAAGCAGCTAAAGCTACTATTCTGCTGCTTTTAGCAAGTCTTTTTCTACTTTAGTAAGTCTTTAGTTGCTTTTATCTTTTAGCTACTATTTTACTTTAGCTCTTCGCTAACCTTTAGTTGTTTACCATTCGTCCACTTTAGCAAGTCTTATGCTAATTTTAGCTTTTAGCTACAATTCATCACATAATTTTAAACCTTTTTTGAAACTTTTAGCTACAATTCTGCTGCTTTTACCATATAGCTTTGTTTTTTTTTACTATTGTGAGCCTTATATTAATTTTATCCTTTAGTTATAGTTCTGCTGCTTTAACTAGTCTGTTGCTACTTTTCAAGCCTTTTGTTACTTTTGTCTTTTTTTGTTTTGCTATTTTAGCTCTTAGCTAAACTTTGGTTGTTTTTAGCCACTTTCTGCCACTTTTCTCTTCTAGCTAGCCTTTTGCTACTTTAGCTCTTAAGCGAATCTATGTTTTCTGCAGTGATGAGTAATTTTTCATTCTTCTTTTCGGCCACATCTATCAGGAGTTTTCATCTCTGATCGGTTCAGTTTGTTCCTCCCTGTCGGCTTTAAACTCGTTAGTTTCTGACTGCGTGTTTTTAATTTCCATCTCAGAGGAAACAGCTTTAATAAAACGGTTTAATCCGGTCACATTCTCGTTTGATTTCTGTGCGACAAATCAAATAAAACCAAAGATTTGACTCTAAAGACGACAACTGTTTTTATTTTCAGTGAAACTTTTGAAGGATGTGATTTTCAAGAAGGTAAACTTTTCATGTTTTATTATATTTTCTTCACAAAAAGAAGTTATAAGTTTTTAAGCCAGACTGTGTTGGTGGAATGTGCTGCAGATCAAACTGAGGACCAGGCAGATTATCAGAACGTTTCAGGTAATAATTCACACATTCATCACAACCGCAGAGTGTTTATTTCAATTTTTACCTTTTTCTGTTTCAGTTCCATCAATCAGATCAAGCCTGGACCACGACTACGTGTAAGTTTTACTGAAGTCGTATTTAAAATGCTAAAACGTGTTTATATTTAAAATTTTTTTAATGTACAACCATTTAAAAGTGCAAGGATTTGGGAGAATGCGACGTGGCTCATAAGAAATTTTGAAGAAAATGTTGCAGCTAAAGTTTTAAGCAAATTCACAAGAGACTTTCAGCTACTATTACGCCAAATTTTAGCTCGAAGCCTAAATCAACCGAGGTTCAGCCATTTTTATGTTCATGTCAATCAGCTGCGGCGGCCATCTTGAATTGGATTGGCTCCAAACGAGCCTAAACCGTGAAGAAACGACAAAAAACAAACTGAATTCAGACAAAATGGTTTAAGAAAACCTGCGTCTTTCTTCAGTTTTTATAAAAATGAACAGTTTAAAGTCTCATTAAGTCAAACTGAGACGCAAACAAAAGCAAGAGCAACTTTAACACGAGTTATTGAATCGCCATATTTTAACCGAGTGATACACAAAGTAATGTTTTGCTGAAATCAAGGCCTAACATCTCAATCTGTTCATAAAGATAATTAGAGTTTAAAGTTTTTTTCCTGACAGGCTGCAGAGATTTTCACAAACATCTTTAGTCATTTCCTCTTGGTCATGAGATTGTGCAGCTAGTTCCTCTTTTTAAACTGAAGGAGTTGAATTTGTATGAACCCCGACTGATGAGCAGACCAGACGGTGCCGGTTAGTTCTGCAGGATTTTTTTTTTATCATTCAGCCTCCAGTAAATCAAACCATCTGCTGAAAAGTTTGATTGACCCTGCTGTTATTCATTATCATCATCAAACAGCGTCAAGTTGTGATTTACTTTGAGGTTTGTAAAGAAAACATACGTGTAATATTTGGACATGTTCTTTCTAAATTAAATTCACGCCTTTTAAGAACTTCAGTTTTAGTTTTTAGAAAGAAAAAACGGATAAATAAACAAAACGGTTCAATCTGAGCTTTGAGTTTTACAGTTTGTCAAAGAAGCAAGTCGTTGTAAAGCATGCAGCCCAGGGCTTTTATTTTGAAAGGCGTTTCTGTAAAAGTTCCTGTCCATCCTTGAGCAGGGAGGCTCAGACATCTCTTCTAGGGGGACTTCAAGCAGGCAGCACGACGGCTCAGTGGTTAGCACCGTTGCCTCACAGCAAGAAGTTCCTGGGTTCAATCCCCAGTTGGACCTGGAGTCTTTCTGTGTGGAGTTTGCATGTTCTTCTCATGCTTGCGTGGGTTTCCTCCCACAGACCAAAATCATGCATGTTAGTCTGCCTTCAGGCCTCCCTTGCAAAAGAGATGTGTGATCTCAGTGGGATTTGCCTGGTTAAATAAAAGGTAAATAAATAATAAAAAGTTTCCAGACCAGCAAAGACATGTAGTCTCTCCAACGTGTCCTGGGTCTCCTCCCAGTCATGTCCAAAGCACCTCCCTGAGGAGGAGCCCAGGAAGCATTCTTACCAGATGCCCAAAGCACCTCAACTGGCTCCTCTCAATGTGGAGGTTCCACTCCGAGTCTCTCCTGATAACTGAACTTCTCTCCCCGTCTCTAAGGGAGAGTCCAGCTACCCTGCAGAGGAAACTCATTTCATCCGCCTGCAGTAGTCCCTCGATACTTCGTGGTTTGACTTTTGTGGGCTTTCAACGTAAGATTGTACACGACTGTCGATGGGAAAAGACAGACCCCACCCTCTGCCCCTCCTTTCTCTGCTGTGACAGCCTCAGAAAGAGAAAGGAGGGGGTGGGGAGTGTCTGTCTTATACCAGAGTGATCCACATTCAGCCACTTTCTCTTTTTAAAAACTGATTCATTCTTATTTTTCCACCTAAGCATTTTCTCCGATATTCAACGTTTATTTATCTGCAACCCTCCTTTCTCTTTCCAAGGCACAGCAGAGAAAGGGAAAGGAGAGGGCAGAGGGTGGGATCCGTCTTTCCTCATCGTGTCCCAGAGATGCACAATAGGCAGGTGCGCAACAGACATCTTCCGAAAAAGAAATGAGGGGGAGTGGGTGTCTGTCTTATACTTGAGTGAGGGCACGGATTGTTTAATTTAAAATAATCCAGCGCGACCTGAACCGAGCCTCGATGGCCAGTCTGCACCCGGGCTCAGTAATCATAGCATCAGTCTGCTCTTTCTCTGTGCTCTTTTAGAACGTTTAGAACGTTAAGAACATTTTTCAAAAGTGTGGGAAGGGTTTATAAAGCCTTACACTGTATATAAACACTAAAATAAATATAACGTCTTTGTCTGGAACGCAAACCCAACGATAAGTGAAGGACTGTATCCGCAATCTCATTCTTTTGGTCACTACCCAGAGGTGAGGGTAGGAACGTAAACGGAGAGCTTCGCCTTACAGCTCAGCTCCCTCTTCACCACAACGGACCGGCACAAAGTACACAACACTGTGGACACTCCATTCTTCCCTCATCAAGAAGAAAACCCCAAGATACTTGAACTCGTCCACTCGAGGCAGAACCTCACCCTCAACCCGGAGAGGGAAGTTGGAAAAAGGGCGGACTTCCTCGGTGTGTACATTTTTATGTTTCCAAGACGGACTAGCTGTGGCAGCCATCTTGAATCAGGTTAATCCCAAAAGGTTATCAGCTGTAGATTCATATCCAGTTATACTTTCATTAGTATCACTGGTTCATGAGATATTTTGCCAACAGTGCTGCTAATGTGCAGATAAATGAGGTGATTAAAACCTTTTTGTTTTCAGCGCTCCAATCGCCGTGTCCTTGTATGAAAACGAGAAGAACAGACGACTCGGTGAGTATTTTTACACGTGTGTTGTCAACCAGCTGGTTCGGTCCTGATGTTCACTGCACGACGTCGGTGTTTTCAGAAGACAAGCAGACGCCAGGCATTTACGGAAACGTCTTCCCGTCGCTGTCCATAACAGAAGGTAATCCCTGGGTTAATAATCTGATCATTTAATCAGTCGGAGAGTGAAGGACTTTTTCAAACTGCTGCTTTGTTAAAACAGATGATGATTATGAAAACGCTGCGTTCCTGGAACAGCAAATGGAAGGTTAGTTTGATCTTCTTACTATTAAACATTTTGATTTTAACGTTAAACTCTCATCCAAGGATTAAAAACATTCATATTCATAAAAAGGTTGAATTAAAAAAATAACTTACAATTTATGGTTAAAAAGGTCTGTTTGAATCAAAAGTACTTTTAATTTCTCATTTCCAATCAAAAACATTTTATTTATGGTCGAAAAGATACAAATTATTAATAATTATCTTTGTCAGTATTGAAGCACTGAAGATCCACAGAAACAACAAAATCGTTATAATTTAAGTAAAAATCCCGAAACTGAACGTTGCTTTTTTTTATGTCCACCATATTTTTAAATAAACCCCTGACATGTTTTCTTTTTCTTAGATGAGCCCGATTATGTGAATGAAAACAGCGACTGCACCTGAACGCACCACCACCTACAACTGCTCTGAGAGATAAAAAGTTAAATAAAATACTTTGTGCTCAGCTGTGTGGAAATTAATCAAACCTGCTGTTAAAGCCGAGGCCGCCACCTGCGGGTGAAAAAAAACACATTTATGTCTTTCAGTTAATTTGTGTTTGGTTTAAATATTTGGCGATTTTTAACCAACGAGGAGAAAAATTAAAACTAGAGAAATTGCGCTTCCTGTGAAAATGCAGTTTTTGTTGACGATTTTTGCTGAAAGCTGCTGAAGAGGCTGAAACCAGAATGAAAAGGCTTCATCGCTAAACGGTAAATGCTGAATTTGAACCAAACGAGCAGCCGAAATGAGCCGATTGAGCTACTATGACAGAAAGAGACTGAACAAGTCAGAAAAAAACTGAAATTAGCAGAGAAGCTGAAATTATGAAACACAAAAGGTGAAACTTAGCAATAAAACAGCAGAAGGCTAAAATGAGCTAAAAGATACCCAAGCTGAAAAAGCTGAATTTAGCAGAAAGAAGCTGAAATGAGCATTAAAAGGTTTTGACGAGCACAAAGTGTTTGAAGGACGTGGAGCTCCTCCTCTTCAGCGAGACAAACATGGCCGACAAAGCTAAATTACGTCATGTATATATTCAGACAGTTGACGTGATCTGTTGGTGCTCAGAGTGAGTGAGGACGACGACTCTCAGCTACTGACGCTTCAAACTTCAGTCCAACATCTGGAGTTGGAACTGTTTTTGGTTACTTAGCGGTGGCGGCCATCTTGAATTAATAGAGGCACAAACTATTATTATTTTTGCTTTTGCAAATTTCATTATAATTTATCAAAAGTTCATGATTCTTTTTGGTATCAAACACGAGAAAAACCTTTTCCTTTTGGTTGTGAGACTCAAACTGACGGAACATACAAACTGTTTTGATTGATCTGATTCAGCTTCCTGTACCTCAGAGATCAAATACTTTAAGTTTGTCTTCAGATAAATCATTTCATTCACACTTTCAGACATCATATGGTCAAACATCATTTCTGAAACTTCCTTTGCACAGACGGTATATTTTTTCTTTGCTAAATGAAGAAAAACTTTACTTTTTGGGGGGACAGAAGTTAAAATCTCAACTTTAAATTTAAAATCAAACCCTACTTGCTTTAGGACCCACCGGAACAGTTTTCTAAGCAGTTTGATGAAGCTCAGCCTCAGAAGCTGCAGTTTATAAAGAGAAGACATTCAGAGAAGTTTATTATTATATTATTTTATAACCAGATTAAACAGACAAATCTACAGATGGAACAAGAACACTTTCAACATATACAGGAACAGTGGTGGTGCCGTGTCGAAGCAGAAATGCACATTCAGCAGGTTTGTTTTTACAAAGAGGAGGAGCTGGGAAATGAGGTTTCACCTTCGACCTCAAGGTTTTTGTTGAGAAAAGGCCAAAAAGGAAAGGGCTCCCCGCCCGCGGTAGTTTTGTCTTTAAAGCAGCGCGTCGACGTGAGGCTGAGCGCTCGTCATCGACAGATCTGAGGAGCCCAGACTCTCCTGCGGAGGATGAAAACGCTGCGGGGGTCGTTACGAGGTGCGTTTGTGTCACTTCTGGGATGTTTGAGTAAATAGGACCTGGCCATGTTCAGTAGCTACCCACTTTCTTCTTACGCACACACAAACACACGACACACTGCAGCTGGTGAGGTTCAGACGCTGCTGAGGGCTTCGACACCTGGCAGGACTTTACCTGAGGACACACAGGGAGGACGTTCAGAGAGCTCATCATCATCATCAGCGAGCGTCACAATGTGCACCTGCCACTCACCTTCCAGCAGCTCCAGACTGGCTCCGCCTCCAGTGCTGACATGGCTCACCTTATCTTCTGTGTTCCACTTGGCGCAGCAGGTGGCCGTGTCGCCCCCACCTGGACGAGACGTTTACAACAGAAAGCCTCAGAGCTCTGGAAACACTAACTGGAACATTCATCCTGTCCTGAAACCAGTTTCTTTGTCAAACATTCAAGATCTTGAACTTTATAGAACAAAACTTAAATATTTACATATATTTCAGGGGTTTATTTCCTACAGTCTTGAACAGAAGTCGTTTCACTGCAGCTCCAGCTTCTCTAGTAAAAACTAAATTAACTTAAGCCTTGGTTAGTGCGAGGTCACGTGCGCTGCAGTATGGCAGCACTGACGGGAGCTCCGCTTCGACTCCATCCTTTTTCGTTCCTGTTGTTTATGTTTGAACTTATTTTGCTCCTACACTGCACTCCCACGCTGCAGGTATGACCATGACGCACTTCTGGAGTTTTGTGTGTCGCTGCCTCGTCATCCTGTCCACGTGGTTCAGTTCCCGGCCCCCTCCAACCTCGGGTTCAGACTCTGGCCTGTCTTGGCGGCTGTCTCCATGATCCTCCATTCGCCTGCATGGACCCAACTCTACAGAACAGTTTGGTTCTGTGAGGAAACTTTGGATGTTCCGTGTCTGTCAGACCCGGTTCTGGAGGGCAATTATCATTCATTGCTGCGGTCGTTATTATCATGTGCTAACAGCACCACGCTGCTAACAGCACCACGCTGCTAACGGGACCACCCTGCTAACAGCACCACGCTGCTAACGGGACCACCCTGCTAACAGCACCACGCTGCTAACGGGACCACCCTGCTAACAGAACGACGCTGCTAACAGCACCACGCTGCTAACAGCACCACGCTGCTAACAGGACCATGATGCGAACAGCACCACGCTGCTAACAGAACCACGCTGCTAACAGAACCACGCTGCTAACAGAACCACGCTGCTAACGGCACCACGCTGCTAACGGCACCACGCTGCTAACGGCACCACGCTGCTAACGGCACCACGCTGCTAACGGCACCACGCTGCTAACGAGACCACCCTGCTAACAGAACGACGCTGCTAACAGAACGACGCTGCTAACAGAACGACGCTGCTAACAGTACCACGCTGCTAACAGAACCACGCTGCTAACAGAACCATGCTGCTAACAGAACCACACTGTTAACAAAACCACACAGCTAATAGACCATGCTGCTGTTGATGTATTTCTTTTTCGTTTTTGACGCCTTGTTTTTGTATTTTTGTTGCATGCTTTGGTATTTCTTGTTTTTTTGGCGAGTCGAGACGGTTCTTCTCGTCCTGATCATTGTTGATCTTGTGTTGATCTGCATATGACAATAACCCTAAACCTAAACTTGTGAACACTTTGGCTGCACATTAGGAATACAGTACCATGTTGCAGGATTAATTTGGATTACTGGATCACTTTAGTTCCATCACTGTTGTGGTTTGTAGACCCAGGCTGCTGTTACAGATGTTTTGTCATCAGGAAAGCTTCCGTGTCAAAAATCAATTCCAACCATTTAAAAATTCACAGAAATTATATCAAGAAAGATCCGAGACAAGTTTGAGATGCTCACGACAGCTCGGACACTGAAACAATAAAATGTGGCACAAGTGTTTTAAAAGCACGTTCAAAATTCAAGCAACAAACTGCGAGGAACTATTTGTTGCAGAGGTCAAAGCCTGTGAAAAAAGTAGCAGCTTATATTCTGGAAATTACGGTAATTTCCTCTTCGTCTCTCTCGTCAAAGATTCGTGTTGATTTTCATCATCAGGGCAGAACAGGAGCCTGACAGCGAGTCCTGCCCGTCAGACCACGAGTTAAACCCCTGCACTCGAACAGACTGACGTGTTTCTAACAGAACCGGCCTCCCGTCTCCTTTTCTTACCGATGATCGTGACGCAGCCCGACTTGGTCACCTCGACCACTTTGTCCATCAGGTTCTTCGTCCCCTTGGCGAAGTTGTCCCACTCGAACACGCCGACGGGACCGTTCCACACGATTTGCTTGGCCCGGCCCACCGCCTCGGCGTAGGCCTTGGAGCTCTCTGGTCCACAGTCCAGACCCTGCAGAAGACCCACGGGTTTGCTGTAGTTAAGTCTGACTAAAACACGTAGACCCTTCTGGGATTAGTGATCCTCACCATCCACCCGGCTGGAATGCCGCCAGCGACGGTCGCGGTGCCGGTGGCGGCGTGCTCGTCAAACTTGTCCGCGGTGACGAAGTCAACGGGCAGCGTGATCTTCACGCCGTTCTTCTCGGCTTTGGCCATCAGGTCTTTGACGATGGCGGCGCCCTCCTCGTCGTACAGAGAGTTACCGATCTGACAGAAAATTAAAGGATCGGGTTATAAAACGACGACCGAGGAGCTCGACTCTGAGAAACGTTTCAGCACACAAAGAACGAACAGTTACAAACAGAAAAAACTTATTTTGACTACTGGTGTTTAAAACATTTGTTTGTTTATGACAAACGTCCTTTTAAAACAAAAAGTTCAAGTCAGTTCACTCAAACTATACGGCTACTCTCAGGTAGAGCTGCCATTTCTAACCTGAACCCGGAGCGGGCTGGGTCGGTGTCAGGCTTTTGATTGCGTCAGCGGACGCACGCGGCTGATGATCCAATTATATGGCAACACGGCCTGCCATACAATCACCAGCCGCGCTGACCGGCCTTGAAAGAGGTAAAAAGTGCAGTTAAGCTTCAGATGGATTACTGCCAGGGATCCATCAGCCCAAATGGACGTTCAGCCGCTGCACTCAGCGGACGCGTGCGGCCGACGACCCAAACAGGTGAGATCACAAAATATCCGACATGTCAGAGCAGGGTCCGTGTCTGAATAATGCAGAATGCAGGCGGAAGCAGGGATTTAGTGCGATTTGACAGCCATGGAAGGACAAACACCCCTCAGCTCTGATCTTCTGTCCTTTTTATTCAGCTGCGTGAGTCCGCCGACTGTTACTAACTACCGTATATAAGCAGTCAAAGCTTAATTAAACATGGGGGGGGGGTGTGTGTGTGTTTGGATTTGGACCTGTAATTACTGTTAATTTGTCGGGTCGGGTTTGGAAATGATTGCTTCGGGCTGGGGCCAAATGCAACTCCACTCTCAGGTGGTGCAGATTTCAAATAAAACAAAAGTCACTGGAATTTATTTAGTGCAGACTCAAACATTTAACACAATAAAGTCTTTTCTACAGATTTGTCGTAATTTTTTCATCATCTCACCTTCACAACTCTTATGTCAAAACATTTCTTAAAAAAAAAAGTCTTATTTCAAAAGTCTAGTTTTTACTAAACTCTTCTTCTTCCTCCTCCTTCGTTGTTGCTTAATGAACTCTTTAAAAAAGTGTTTTCTTAAGGCTGAGTTCACTGTTTGCAGATCGTGGTGAAAGGGGTCATTTCATAAAAAGGAGCAAATAAAAGTGAGCTCCTGCGTGACTCCGGTCTTTTAGGATCGATTCTTTCACAACATTTTGTCAAGAGGTCGAACTGAGGCGACGCAAGTTTGAATTCCTGCTGAGAGGGGAAATTAGAGGCGTTACACAAAACTGAACGCCTCGAACGTCAAACAGCTCAACAAAAATCCTTTTTAGCATTAAATTAATTCTGGCTGCTTCGTGGGGGCCATCTAAATGAAAAAAGGGCCACATTCCGCCCATGGGCCACTCGTTGAATAGGCCTAGCCTCTGAAACAGTTAGCACGTTTCAGTCCTCCAGGAGGACTTCCTTTTAGGCAAAACTACTTTTCTTTAAAAAAGTCCCACTGGAGTTGAGTGAACTTACATGAAATTGGCCGAATTATCTCTTTAAGCTGAGACTTTTTCCCACATTTCATGTGTTTTCAACCTTTGGATAATCGTGGTAAACATAACCAAGCGTTTGAGGAGGAGCTGCTGTCGTCCGTGGTCTTCCTCACCTCCATGTTGTTGAGGACTTTGAGGAAGGTGAAGGCCATCCCGCCGCCGATGATCATCTCGTTGACCTTGTCCAGCATGTTGTTGATCAGCTGGATCTTATCTTTCACCTTCGCTCTGAAACCAGAGAGGCAGAGAACATTAGATCATTCATCAACCCCGACTTCACTGCTTTTAATCAAACTCATTCCCCACTGAAGAAGAAGTCAGATGTTCCTGATGTTCCCGTCTTTGTGGCACATCTTAAAGACAACAACTTTAAATTCAACGATCCACTTGGTCACATGTTTGAATCTGATTTTATTTAATCCATGTGCAAAATATCAGAACATTTGCACAGCTCTTCTAGAGGAGCAGCTCATATTGATCCCAGTCTGCAGATTTTACAAGACTGACGGGTCCAGTTTGATCGAAGCTCACAGCTGAACGCAACAATTCATTTTAACGTGACCCCTCACCTCTCTCTGCCTGCTCAGCCACAACAGCAAAGACAGAAGATTCTCTTCTATTCCAGGACGGATCTAATACCCATAAATAAAAGAGCTGCAGAGTTGCAGCAAAGAACAGAAGAAGAAAAGGAAGACGACAAACTTGAGGGTTTATTTTAAGGGCGGTGCAAAAACGTGCGAATTACCGTATTTTTTGACCTATAAGTAGCAGTTGTTTACATAATTTCCATGCCCTGCGACTTATACAACGAAGAGACTTATTTATGTTTTTTTTTCCCATATTTACAAACCAATTTTGGGCTTACTTATTCATTCTGACAGAAAATATTGAACACTACCATTTTCAGCCGCTAGATGGCACTCGAATGGTATGGCATACCGTTGTCTCGTGTAATAGATAAAAGTGGATATTAATGACACAATCGGCTTGCCGTAGCCTGCCACCTTCATCCAGCTATGGGATCATGCTTGGAACAACCGTCAAATCAGCTTCATTTCACCGCGCCACCCTGGCAAAATTAAGCTAATTTGACTATTAAAGTGCATTTATTAAGTAAAAGTTCAGCTGAGACACACCTTTAATATAATGTCGAGCAAACCAATAATTGTTTTAGGCGCTTATCTAGTTAAATTTTTAAGAAATGCACAGCGTTCCTCCTTCCTGATTTCCTCCCTCTGCGTGCTCCCAGAGCACCGAGGCAGCCAATACTTTTGAAATGCAGCTGATTTTACCATTAAAGTGCATTTATTAAGGAAAAGTTCAACTGAGACACACCTTTAATATAATGCTGAGCAAACAAATAATTGTTTTAAGTGTTAATCTTGTTAAATTCATGTTAAAGTCCTCCTGTGCACTAGGGCTTTAACAGACTACTCGAGTTATCGACACGTCGATTCCCAAGACATCTCGCGCGTTTTTAAATTTCATGTCGAATATTCGCAGTTACGTCATTGCGTCACGTGTCACGTGATCCGCACCGGGCGCGGGCAGCTACAAAATGGATTCCTCCAAACAGACGGATGGAGCGGAGCAGGCCAGTCTTGGCAAACAGGTAGAAATGCATCAATAGTCTGGAAATATTTCACGAAAGATTAATCTTCCGGTTCAACTACCGTAAGGAAACAGAAAATGAATCAACTTCCTGACTGTTTGGAGCTCCTTGTGAACCGGTGTTATACCATATTCTGTGACCACCGTATATTGTGACCGTAGAGGGAGGTGTTGCATGCACTGTTGCAGGTCACAGAATATGGTGCAACACCGGGTTCAATCGACCGAACCAGAACCAGCTTCCTCTGACTTTGTTTCACAAACAAAAAGCAAAAAAATATTCATCTCTAAACCTATTAAAAAAAAAACTATAAACACATTAATCTCTAAAACTAAACCTAATGCGCACAACAGCTGGCGGTGGTCAGGGTGGTCGTCCACCCCTCTTTTTAGTTTCGTTTTTTACGTGCCACACGTTTCTTTCACTTTTGCAGCTTAATAATAATAATAATAACTAATAGTTTTGGTTTTCCTGTGACTTATTTGCAGTATGATACATGTTTCCTGTTATTTAATTTAAAATATACAAGACGTCCATTAAAAGGCAACACCTAACCCAACACTGTACGAGTTAAGACGGAGTTAGACCAAATGGACTTGGTTAACGAGTTAATGGAGAGAAGGTGGCCTGAACTCGGGCGCAGCCTTGTTGGAGACCGTGGCAGAGGACGTTAAGTGTTCATGACTTTATTTCACTCGTTTATCCACTGCCGCGTTGCGTTTACTGTTTCGGGCAGCCGTGCAAACATCGAGGCAAAACTCGAGTTATATCGAAGCGAGTTGTGGTGGAACTGGACAATGGAGAAATGGCCGTACTGGACCTCTTCGTTTCCATTTTACTTTAAAGGAGAAGAAAAAACACTTTTTGTAATTTTACAGATGTAAACTTTTGAAAAGCTCTCACCCTCCGAGGATGGCCAGGAAGGGCCTCTGAGGTTTCTCCAGGGCCATGGCAAAGTAGTCGAGCTCCTTCTTCATGAGGAAACCCGCCGCCTTCTGGGACAGATTCACCCCCACCATGGAGCTGCAGGACGGGGACAAAGACCAAGAGATGAACCGACAGGAAGTCCAGATGTTTGTTAGTAACTCTGCAGAGGTTTTTTTTTAAAAACTGATTCAACGGCACAAATCCCGCTGTGCACCCTGACCAGTTCAACAACGGTATAAAAATCATATTAAAGATAAAAACTGTCCTTATGTTGAACACAGCTCGACTTTTATGAGCACAACCAGAGAAGTAAAGTGAAGAACGCTGGTATCAGAGCCTATCCCACCTTGAAACCTCCAACATACCAGTATTTATTTTGATCAGTTCCCAGTAACAATATGTTGGTGAAAACATTTTGAGAACCAGTAATCACTAAAAAGGTCAGAGAGATGCAGCAGTGTGTGGTTTAATGAGCAGCAGCAACTTGTGTAGTTTGTACAGAAACAGGCTTCTGCTCAGTTCACCTCCAAACGTTAAAAATAAAGACTCCGACTTATCCATTTCACCTCGATACCATTTAGTTTGATGTCAGCTCAGTAACATCGTTAATATTTTATTTAGTTCTTTACCTGTGAGCTCTGTGAGCCGTCCCGAAGGCATCGTTGATGTAAACGTCCCCCAGTTTGGACAGAGACGCCCTGAAGGAGTCCGTCTGCTCCTGGGTGGCTTTGGTCTGAACCAAAGAAACAGAAAAAGATGAAAGAATGAGCACCTCTGGTCCCATTCATGCATTATTGTTGCATTTTTCTGCACACAAATATAAATACTTGTTTTAAAAGCTTCAAGGAGAATCTACTTTAGTTGAAAACATAAAAATCTCTTCAATAAAAGTCGGAAATTAACGATTGAATCTGAGCAGCTTAGGCCTGTGGCGACAAACAAATCAATTAATCGCATGATAGATGAAAATTATCGACCTCATCTTCATTTATCAGCTTTATCGTTTCTTCGTGTCTCTCTTTCTATTGAAGACACTGGATGACAAAAAGTTCAACTCCGGTGCTCTTCACTGACCCTCCCTTTCTCTTTAAAATCCGTTTTAACGATCCAAAATCCTATTTTTGGATCGTTAAAAGCAGCTAAGCTACGAGCTAAGCTAACTGGCTGACCTCGGGGAGGGGGGGGGGGGGCCCTCCATCTTGTCGAAGCTCCAAAATTCACAGTTGAAGCCCGTGCCTTTGTGTAAAAAGTTGTTTTTCCTCTGCAAAAAGAAGCTGAGAACTTTTTTAATTTTTTTTTATTAAAAAAAGTTATGTGAAAAATGCTACGCTACAGAGCTCAAACCACAACAAGTGTCCACCATTTTGAGAACCAGAGAGAGACAGCCCATGTTACGTCAAGAGGCCTCCCTCACATTTTTCTTAAGAGACACGCTGCTCGCTCCCTCACTATCCATCCTTCGGTTCAAACCGTCTTATACTGCCAGCCAGTGGTAAAAAAAAAAAAAGTAGTACACAAAAATTTACCAACATTTCTTCTTAAATTTGACAATTACTAATTATTGTCAAATTTCAAACAATATTATTTATCGCAATAATTTCTGAGACTAATAATCGCCCAGTAAAATTTGTTATCGTGACAGGCCTAGAGCAGCTTCCACACCCCCCATTCCAAATCTCTTTCCCTGCTAAATAAATGTCCGTGGTCCATATTTACCCGGCTGCTCTTGCAACATGAATGTTAGCTTAGCTGACGTCGACACAAGCTAACCCCAGGACCCGACGTTTAAAGGAAACAGAACTTTTCTTCTTTGTTACAAAGAAGCAGCAAGTCCTGCAGTCTTCAAACGTCAAACACAACAGAACCACCGAACAACCCCTCAGAGCTCTTTGCAGCCGACTTTAGTTCTTTTAACCAGTTTGATCAACACATCAGAAAAGTTCATGTCTTTGCTGTTTTCTGACAATTTTGGAGGTAAATGTTAATAAAAACTGTCCCTTTATGGACTAAATGAAGTTAAGTGTTTATTTTTTACTTTGTATTTTTTATATGTACAAATGAAAGAGTTAAAAATGTCAACTAACTAAGAAGGATTTCCTAGAGGAGTGTTCGACAATTCTTTTCTTTTAAATAAAACAAACTTGGTACAAAATATTTCATTAATAGCAGAAATTAAAAGGGTTTTGATTTCCAGTGGTTTGTCATACCATATTTTCTGGACTATAAAAGGCGCACTTAAAGTTCTTTAATTTTCTCAAAAATCAACAGTGAGCCTTATTATCCGACGCACCTTCTGTATTAATTCTGGTTGTGCTTACCGACCTCGAACCGATTTCATGTGGAACAACTGAACACTGTTGAGTTATTGTGAATGAGATGAATAAAGTTTGACGCTTAATGCGCCTTATAGTCCGAAAAATAGAGTCGAGGTTCACCCGGCGTCGTACATTTCTTCTTCAATTCTGAAAGACCCACTGAATGAGAACTTTCCACACCTACGTGGCGTTAAAGCGTACGGGCTTTATTTCACGTTCGCAGAGCTTCGTCCCAAAAACACACAAACTGTTTTACAGACAAATGTTCACCAGAAATAATCTGAATGGAGACAAACTCTCAACCCGAGACCCTGGATCAGGTTTCTGTTGCACTTTACGAAGTGAAAGGTCACAACTGTTGGAGCGGAGGGCAGATAAAGGTCAGGGGTGTTCTTCAATGTGGATCAAATGTCAGACAGTTGGACTTCAGTCCAGTCCCTGCTGCCTGCAATCACACCTTCACTCAACACAACAGGCTTCAGTTCAGGAACTAGCAAAATGATCCTGATGGGTGTTTTGGTTCTTCTTCCCGATTTAGAGACGACTCCGTTATCAATAAGGTCCTTAATCCTGAATGAATGTTTTGTTACATTAAAACGGAAGGATGTGGCATAAACAAATAAATAAAACAGATTAAATAAAAACTTCTTCCAATCATGAACTGGACCAGTTAAAGATCAAAGTTCCTTCTGTGGTTTCTGAAAACTTGGACTGAGCGACTGATTTTCACCAACGAGTCCTTGATGGAAAACAAACGTCTTATTTTCACACAAACAAAATCAAACCCAGTATTTGTGTGAAACATTTGAGGGAAGTCTGATATATTAAATATATATATATATTTATATATATAATTAAATATTTAATAATTATCTACATGTTCTGAGCTGCACAGTTAGTGTTTTTTTGTCTGAGGCGGTGCAGAGTGACAGATCGTGGAGAGCCGAGGGAGCATTTATTCACCATCAGGTGCAGAGGTGGAGCCAGGGGGTGGCCAATGGTGGCCTTGGCCACCTCAAGCCTTTGCGGAAACTATACTTCCAAGTAGTACAAACTTGAAAGCATAGTTTCCTCAAATGATAGTGGTGGTTTGTTTACATATGCATTATACATATATGGTGGTGGCCATCTTGGATTTTAACACGGAAAAAGTTTTTCATAGGGACCCTTTTATACCTAGATGCAGTCACACAGCCAAATGGAAGTCGGTACTTAGCTTATTTTTGAAGTTATCCAGGTCACAAAGTTAACGTATATGCATAAATAGTGGCAGTCATTTTGGATTTTGACATGGCAACCCAATTTTCAAAATAAACCTCTTATGCCTAGCTGCAGCCACACTCCAAAGTGGAAGTCCTCACTTATCACGTTATGCTGAAAAAGTGCAGTTTTCACAGAGAAAGCTAAAATGACTAAAAGTTCTTGGATGTTTTGGAACGTTTAAAATAACTCAAAGTAAATCTCAATTTTAAGTTATTTACATTAAATAAAAGGAAACTGAATTTCTAACTTTCTGCATGTAAATTTAAATCTGATTAAATAACTGCTTAATGAATTTGTTTAACCTTTTATGAGCACAAACACCTACCTCTAAATTAAAGTAAAACACACCAGAATACCTTTGATTATTGTCCATATTACTGGTCCAACTTTAAAAAGAGAACTTTTGATTGACATAAAGCAGCTCAGGGACATTAATTATTGACCACAGGTCCAGTACTGGGCAGGGTGGGGCGTTTCTTTGCCAACTCCAAGAGTGGAACCATTGAGGTGAGCTACGGTTGTACAGTTCATCATAAACTTAAAAGACTAGATTTAAATGAACTAGCACAACAGAGAAAATGATTTGTGTTCTCTTTGTTTGCTCAGAAAAAATAAAATCACTTTGTCAAAATAGAAGTTTATAGGGAGAAAATGAATAAAAAGTTTCATCAGGATGAGGTTTGTGTGAAAAATGAGTTAAACCCTCCACTGTCCTCCTGTAGCTCTATACAAACTTCATTTTAAAGGTGATTTATTTACATTCTGTCAATATGGGAACAATATTATGTCTTATAGGAATAAATCATAAATGTGACAATCGTTTGGGATGCGTTGCAGCTGTATAATTGTCCAAAGATCAATTATTTTAAATCATTTCTAGAAATCTTATTAATCCCATCCAAATGGGTGATTATTTCTACAATAATAGAACTTTAATTAGTTGGAATAAATTTTAACGCGTTGAATCAACACCATCAGCCGACAGACTCGCCTTGTTTCCAGACGGGTCTTTGCCTTTTCCCTCCTCGGCCACGTGGAAGCGGAGGTTCTCCAGCAGGATGACGGAGCCGGCGGCGGGGTTAGCGCAGGCGGCTTCCACCTCTGGACCCACGCAGTCCTTCAGGAAGGCGACGTCCCTGCAGAGACACGGAGAGGACGATCAGATTTATTTTTTAAAGACCTCTGCAGGCCAAGAGAAGATCAGGAACCAGAATGGAGTCACGTCAGTCGATGCATAAAATGTGTTCCTCTGGTTATCATTTGAGGTATAAAATTCCTCCTGCACAGCAGTTTTTATTAGTTACAACTTAAAATATTAAACAAGTGTTTATGTGGGATGCACAATATTTCATCTTGGATAAAAATCAAACATGAGTTCAGATAAAACAGACTTAATTTCACTTCAACGTGCTGGAGACTTATCCTTATTCACAACCAGATCCAATCTGACCACATGTGCAATAAAGTAAAACTAAAACACCAGAACTGGTGTTTATATCAGCCGGTACTGAATAAATACACTTCTGAATGATTTCCAGCTATTTTCATCCAAACCAGACACTGAATATTGAGAACAGGACACTTGATGTACATTAAAATAAGAATCAACAAGTTTAAGTTTCTGAACAGTTTTTAAATCACTAAAAAAGATAAAGGTACTCAATGTGAAGAAAAAAAAAGTCTTTGACTACCATAACTGACCAGATTCACAAAAAGACGACATATTTGGGCTCATTATTTATTTTTAAAACAAGACTTATTTAAAACTCTCTTTTTAAAACGACAACCACAACAGGAAACTGATATTATAGAAAGTAAAAAGTTATTAAAATAAACCAGAAACACCTGCAGTGAAAGATGATCAGACATTCATTTAATAAGAGTTACAGGAGAAAATGACTCATTTAGAAATCAGACGGGTGTTTTCCCCACATCTGCTCAAAATGTGAGCTTTAGGATGTCAGACTTATCTTTAATGTGGGAAATTAAAGTTGTGACACAATGGGTTTCAGATTATGTTTGATCGTTTCAGAATCAATCCGTTAGAGTCAGAGAGCCAGAGAGTCAGAGAGCCAGAGAGTCAGAGAGCCAGAGAGTCAGAGAGCCAGAGAGACGGAGAGTCCGAGAGACAGAGAGTCCGAGAGACAGAGAGTCCGAGAGACAGAGAGTCCGAGAGACAGAGAGTCCGAGAGACAGTGTGTCAGAGAGACAGAGTGTCAGAGAGACAGAGTGTCAGAGAGAGAGTGTCAGAGAAACGGAGTGTCAGAGAAACAGAGTGTCAGAGAAACGGAGTGTCAGAGAAACGGAGTGTCAGAGAAACGGAGTGTCAGAGAGACGGAGTGTCAGAGAGACAGAGTGTCAGAGAGACAGAGTGTCAGAGAGACAGAGTGTCAGAGAGTCAGAGAAACGGAGTGTCAGAGAAACAGAGTGTCAGAGAAACGGAGTGTCAGAGAAACGGAGTGTCAGAGAAACAGAGTGTCAGAGAAACGGAGTGTCAGAGAAACGGAGTGTCAGAGAAACAGAGTGTCAGAGAAACAGAGTGTCAGAGAAACAGAGTGTCAGAGAAACAGAG